ACACACACACACACACACACACACACACACACACACACACACACACACACACACACACACACACACACACACACACACACACACACACTAGGCTTGGGCGGTATTACGGTATTATGGTATACCGCGGGATCTAAAAATAGCAACGGTGTCAGTTTCAATACCGTTATACCGTCATAAAATATTAAATATCCTTTATTTAATGCCTACAAAAACGTATGTGTGGTTGTCATCACGGGACAGTGTGGAGGAGAGAGGGAAAGGAAGGGGGAGAGGGAGGGAGAGAAGGGGGAGAGGGAGGGGGAGAGGTGACGTGACGTGACGAGTCGCGCTTCAAAGTGTCCTGCAGTTTGGCAGTTTAGACTGAACAGAAGGGAGACGTGGTTAATATGAACGAGAGGTCTGCATTAGAGCTAAAGATCTTTGCCCAAACCCGGCGAGACCCGAAAAAATCCAAATCCCTGCATTAAAATCCATCCCTGCAAAGGTGAAACAAATGATGACGAAGTAGTAAAAAAAGCGAATTTTGACGGCGGTCAAGCCACTCACTAGCTCATAAGGAGCGGTTATTCCAGCCGCAGGTATTTCGCGGTCGCTCATACACTGCGTATTACGGTAGAGCCCTAAACCGCAAGTTGACAGGTAAAAAGAAGAGGCCATTCGCTAAAGTGAAACTGCTGTCATGGAAAATTAAATGCATGTTCCTGACTGGTAGAAGATGAACAAACAATCCTACACAAAACTTGCTAAATCAGCCGGATCAGAACTCTGCATCTTGACCTGTAGCCGCAGGAAAGGGTGTTCAGCTGCTGGACGCACATGAGTGAGAGACTGCGCTAAAGCCAGTGGATTTAATAATGATCCTCCACAAACACACGTAGCCTAATCTTGGTGAGTAAAGGGTTTTTAAATTATAAATAAATATTAATTAAACCATATAATCATAATGTAGACAGAGTATACAGGCTAATGGTGGCATTATTCTTTTATTATTCAGCTTCACCGTCGCCTTAATGCCAGATTGTGAAGAGAAGTGGAGAAACAACTTGCACAGCCTTTATCTTAATTTCGTTATTGCCAAAATACCCGTCACCATTTAGAGTCTATTTTAATTTGATTTGTTAAGCAAGATTACTTTTCATTGGTGTGTAGGCTAATTTAAAGGCTAAGTGCATGTACCTAGACCTATAGAGTGCTGAGATGTTACGATGTTACAGCTGTAAGACTTATTTTATTTCTTTGTTCCAACTTTCAAGTGGCCTATAGTCTACGCTTGTTACGAATAAATGATGTTAAAACATATAAATTACTCATTCTTGAAAAAAATGCATTAGAGCTGTGTGCATGAGCACATTTTAATGTAGGCTGTGAACGGGTTTGGGCTGTACAAAGCTGTCAATCAAAATGTACCTGTCGGACTCGGGACCTATCGGGTATAATTTTTATTGCCCGATTACAGCTCTGCATTCACGCTGCTGTTCCGCGGGAGCCAGACAGATTTCTTACGGTGTGGGAGTAAATTTCTGAATAAATCGCGGGAGAGATTTGTGTGTGTGTGTGTGTATGTACAGGTATGTGTAAGAGAGAGAGAGAGAGAGAGAGAGAGGTGCTGTGCGTCGCTTTGCTCTCTCTCTCTCTCTTTCTCTCTCTGACCGCGAGCCTAAGGTCGCATAGAATGTATTCAGTTTCTGAATGGTTTAGGCTCAAGCCAACAGTTTGGTGACGCTGTCTGAGCCTTACGTCATAATTTTTTTTTATTACGCCGGTAATACCGGATACCGGGGTAAAATATGGAGGCGGTTTGACGGTATCAAAATTTGGATACCGCCCAAGCCTAACACACACACACACACACACACACACACACACACACACACACACACACACACACACACACACACACACACACACACACACACACACACACACACCTCTCATTCGCGCCTGCGCATACATACACACACACACACTGCAACAAACAAGCTAAACACAGCATCGTGCTATTTCATTTACACACATACATACGCGTGCTCACTCAGGAGTGGGGAGCGATATTGCCAGACAGCCCGCTCCCGTCCCAAATTAAACCCGTTACCGACCACTCCCGTGATTTATTCGGAAATTTATACCCGCGCCGTAGAAATCTGGTCGGGTCCCGCGGCGCCCACGGGACAGCTGCGGGAATGCAGACCTCTAGTTTGCAGTTCACTATCCAGAGGTCTGCAAATGTGGTTGGGTTTTCTGTATTGTGTTATATTAAAAATCATATGGTGAATTTTAAAATATATATTATTAATAAACATGATTTAAACTTTTGCATTATTTCCCCAGATTATATGCATCAGCCCTCACTGCGTGTCTGACGGTGGACTACTGGAGTTCATCACAGGCTCGACGAGAATGCAGAACTTTGCACTACACTTGCTCTCCTTTCTAGATCCTTCCAGCGGGTTTACAAGGATGAAGCTGTCGGCATCTTTTTACACAGCATTCACAATTTAACACATTAAAGACATGATGGTGTGGTACCCACATAAGCGTTGGCCAACTTACTGAAAAATAATTTTAAATACTTTTAAATGGGTCAGATGATATATTTTCCTTTCAGTATACACACACTCACACAGATACTTATACATATATAAAGAGTAAAAATGCTGGGTATTAACACTGCTTATGATTTTGTGCTATATAAATAAAAATCGACCTTGGGTTGCATTTAGAATTTGAACTTGAATTAGGGTTGAAGTTTATTTAATCATAATGCAGATTAGATCTGTTGATCAAATCTTTGTAAATATTTTATACTGTAACAACTATACTTGTCTTTTTATGGATTGTAGCCTAAATGGGATCCGATACAGATAACCTTATACCCAATGAAAAAATGACAAAAAGACATATTTAAAAACTTATTTTAATTGTTTTAATATTTGATGTTGTTTTTATATTAATACAGAAGCTCTGAAAACTATTTGTAAAATAAAAAAGATTTTCCAGTACCTTGTTGACATGTTTCTGTATTATTCTAGACGTTCTGTGTTATTTGTGTTTTGTATTCACTTGTCTACTATTAAAAATAGTGTCAATGTGGCATAACTGTGTTAAATGCTCATTAGTTTCTGTTACTGGTAAGTATTAATACTTATAGATGATCAATACTAGCTTTGCTGTTGCCAGATAAGATTTTGTTATCTTACATATCTCTCTGTAAGCCAACACTGGCCTCACCATAAACCTGCTCTGTTCTCCCTTACAATAGAGTTAAATTACACTTCTCAGACTGCTGTTCTGTCTGCTGGTCTGTCCGCAGGCTTATAATTGTATGGCTGTGGTCTGTCATTTGTGTGAGTCTCTCAGAATGTCTTATTGCGGCAACCAAACGCGCACCACGATCAGTTGTCTTCATAGTGTGTTTTTTTTTTTTTTTTTGTCTTCATAGTGTTTATATGCGCAAACTCCCTGATCAGACGTCACTTCTGGTCTGGCGATTCAAATGCAGAAGTAAATTTCCGTGACTTAAAACGACTCCAAATGGCTTAATAATAAACTTTAACGTTTATTTTAAAGAAAATCTAATTCTTACTTCACTCTTACACACATTGTCTCACTGGGGTGTCTAACCTACAATATGCTCTTTAAAATAGCCAGTGAAAAGCTACAATGTCAGAGCAAAAAGTCATTTGTGCACCAATGAAGACGGGACTCTCCACAGACTCTCTCCATCTGAACCATAAAAAACAGTGGTTACATTTAATTTGCAAAACTAATGTTTAGTAAATTGATTCTGAATCAGGGGTTAAGGTGTCTGTGTAATGCATAAACAATGATTACATAAAGAACAATTAGATGGCTGACTTTCTAAACAGATTAGGTTTTCTGTAAAGATATCATGCTTATACTAGGCTGTATTTGCATTATAGTGTTTTCAGTTAAAACCGGTTAAAACAATTAAGTTCTACTATAGAGTAACCCCAAATACAGCATCTTTGACCTGTAAAAGATCAATTTGAAAATGTTGAACTAATTTTGGTTAGAAAACGCTATGGCGGAGTTTCAGTGTAGACTGATTAAAACACAGACTTTTGAATATGGAGTCAGTGCCTATCCATCAAGCTCCTCCTATGAGACTATTACACTTATTAAAATCTTATTTTTATGATGCTAAATCAAGTTCAAAGAATCTGCAGAAAATACATCCTGTGCGTTTTCTTTGCTTTAAAATGCTTTTATTTTGAATCCACAAAGCAATGGCATAGCGTTTTCAAGTCATGTTGTCCTCCTTGAAAATGTAATATATATTTTTATGTAACCGTGACTGGCCATCTCACATGGACTGAACATGCCAAATCATTGCTAACTTAACAACACAGTCAAACAAACATACATATAGGAACGACAAGTTACACTGCTCAGTTTAAAAAGTCAGTAAGCAAGTGTAAACAACGTAATAATTTAATGTCTATTTGCAAAGAACAACGCATCACAACAGCAGAAGATGAGAAAAGGGGACTAACGTTAGTGCACAAACTTAAAGCATTTAAAAGGTCAAACAAAAACGTTTTTAATCATTCTTAAAGAGTGGCAGTGTTAACTATTAAACTTAACTGCAGGGTATTTGGGGGCAAAAATTCGCATGCATGCTTGAATAGAGACATTTTTCAATTTAAATCTTATAAAAAAAAGCACTCCTTTAGTTGTTGTGCGTTTATATGTCGGGCTCATCAAGCATCTTCTGGTTAGGAACATGCATATAAACAAACTCGCTTATGGCTACAGGGACATCGGTATGCATTGTTCCGAATAAAACAATATTAAGATTAAGATATTTACACAAGTCGCTTTTATAACACTACTTCATCGTTGTCGTTTCTCATTGCGCATTGATCGGATCATATTGTATACACATAAAGTCATACACAACGCCATTCGACACTTTAGAAGTTCACATATAAGAAATAACGCTGTGTGATTAAGGTAGGTGCAGGTCTATTTAGCCATACCTCATTTTGCATTTGTGTGCTGTTCTCTTCCCTCTGTGATGCCATTAGAGCCTCCGGACTTCTTCTTCTTCTTTTTCCTGGTGTTTATTGGCGGTTCGCATTCTTATCAGAGCATTACCGCCACCTACTGTGGGTTATGGATCAGAGACACTAGCTGCGTCCTAAATGGCACACTATACACTATGCACTCATGCACTATGTACTTATGCACTTACACACTCAACAGGGTAGTATATGTATGTAGTGTTGTCCCAAATGGCACACTAATGTTTTTTTTTTTACTAAGCGGGAAATTCAAACCGTTTCCCTGATGCCAAATCATTGAAGTAAACGGCCGAATTATCAAATAATACCTGCCGTGAGGTTTGCCGCAATCACTATCGGGAGGCGCTATAATCACTCTCGTAAAAGAATTTTGCTTTCACCATCCAAATTAAATAAAGTTATTCAACATGTGCGTCCGATAGCTCCGCCCCTTCCGCTACGTAAGCAAACCTGCGGTCGTTGAGTGCGTGAAGTGTCCATCATTACACACTTCATTTTAGCGCTGAATGAGTGCATCATCCGGGTAATTAAAGTGCACTTATTATTATTAGAGTTTTCAGTGTGAACGCACTACTTACACTGTTTATACTACAAAATGGCGTAGAATAGTGCATAAGTATGCGATTTGGGACGCAGCTTCTCTTAAGCTGCGTCCCAAATGGCACACTATACACTATGCACTCATGCACTATGTACTTATATGCACTTACACACTCAACAGGATAGTATATGTATGTAGTGTCGTCCCAAATGGCACACTTATGTATTTTTACTAAGCGGAAATTCAAACCGTTTCCCTGATGACGTTTGACTGTTGCCAAATCAGTGAAATAAACGACTGAATTATCAAGTAATACCTGCCGTGAGTATTGCTGCATTCACCATCGGGAGGCGCTATAATCACTCTCGTAGGAGAATTTTGCTTTCACCATCCAAAATAAATAAAGTTGTTCAACATGTGCGTCCGATCGCTCCGCCCCTTCCGCTAAGTAAGCAAACCTGCGGTCGTTGAGTGCGTGAAGTGTCCATCATTCCACACTTCATTTTAGCGGCTGAATGAGTGCATCATCCGGGTAATTAAAGTACACTACTAACACTATTTATACTACAAAATGGTGTAAAATAGTGCATAAGTATGCGATTTGGGACGCAGCTTTAGAGCCTCCGGACCATGTGCATACTTTCTCCTTCTTAAACAGTTTGCTTTACGGTAGATACCAGGCTTCTACGTACATTACCGCCACCTATCGCTAAAATGGACCATTGACCAGGCTTCTACGTACATTACCGCCACCTATCGTTAAAATGGACCATTGACCAATCTGAATTAAAAAAAATAAAATAAATAACGGTATACCAATCAAACAGAGAATATAGTCAAGTGGTGGTCGCTGCAGAGCCATTTGGGTGAGCTGAGCTCCAGCGAAGGGGAGCTTGAGCTCCACCTTTTTAGCACTTCTTCTTCGAGTGATGACACTGGGGGTAGGGTTAGGGGTTGGGTTGGTGTACGCATTAAAACAGCTTACAGGAGGCAGAGCTAGAGCTCATGCTCCCCCTCGCTGGAGCTCAGCTCTGCTCAAATGGCTCTGCAGCTACAAACCGTATAGAGATTTTTCCTTTTCCATTTCTTTGAATGTTTCTAAAATAAGAACACTATAAATTGACTTAAAAGTAACATAACAAAACAATGGGGAAAACAAAACAAACAAAAAATGAAAAAGAAATGAGGAAACATGGAGAGTAAATCTTTATTGATGATTTCTGAATAAAGCACAAATTGTAGAAGTTAACAGCTTTCTTGTTACTACAAGTTGAAATGGTATTTAATTACAGCACCAGTTTTTTTGAAAATTCTAAAATGGGGATTACATATTACATTTATGCATTCCCAATAAATAGCAAGAAGTTTATACAAAAACTTGCATTAAATATTTTTATTCAGTGACTGGCTGGCTATTGACTAATTCTGTTCCAGTAATAGACATTTCAAGGCGGCTGGTTCAAATCCCGGCTGTGACAGCCCTTTCTGTATGGAGCTTGCATAACCCACAAAGTACCGCGTTCCGCGTAAGTACAGTGAAATTACCGTCTACTTTTCTGTACGTATTGTATAAGTATAATGAACGTATGTGTAGGTATGAAGGAACAAACCGTAATGCTTGGGTAAGGGGGTAACAATCAGATATTCAACACAAAAATTACCACGTAAGTACAGTGAAATAACGGTGTATTCTGTACGTATAGTGTAAGTATTAAATAACTTTTGCATAGTATAAGGGAACAAACTGTAATGCTTGGGTAATAAGGGGCTAATAACCATATGTTCAGTATGAAAAGTACCGCGTACGTACAGCGAAAAAACGGTGTACTTTTATTTAAATTGCAAAGGAACAAACCATAATGTATGAGTAATAGGAGGGTAACATTTATCATGCAAAGAACCGTGTAAGTATATTTCGTTGACGATGTACCTTTTCTTTAAGTATTGTATACATATGAAGAATTATGCAAGGGTGGTGACAACCTTATGTAACCTGCAAATGTACATGCACCTGCGTAAGTACATTAGTACTCTTATTCAGTGCTTGGGTTTTATATGGGGTGTTTAATGAATAAAAGGTTTACAACCTGTGAAATTATGAACCCTTATTGTATACAGTATGTATTTTAAATCTGCAATTCAATATAAAATATATTTCATACACTATACCTTATAAATGTTCACTCGTCAATCTCACCACAGCCATCAATGTCTCCATAGCTCACTATCAACAAATAAGTTTGCATGATATAGCCTATCGTCAGGGTTCAATGTAGATTAAAACAGGCTCGCATCTTTACTGCTGTTTGCAGAGGGGGGCTAACTGTTGCATTTCAGTGAACGTATAGCTGATGCTTTATAAAAAAATTTAGTAATTTGGTCTTCAATCAATAAAAAATGCTGCTGTAGTTTTCTCTGTTCTTAGTGTTCAAGTATACACTAGTGTGTTGAAGATCAGCTTCTTCCCTCCTTGTTCACTGCAGTTAAAGGGTAAATAGAATATTAGTTCCCCCCTTGTTCACTGTAGTTAAAGGGTAAATACCACATTTGAGGGTTGTAAAATAAAGTAAAGCACTGTTCTTCCCTTGTGCCCCCCTTGTTCCCTGTAGTTAAATGGTAAATACCACACTTGCGGGTTGTAAAATAAAGTGAAGAACTGTTCCCCCCCTTGTTCCCTGTAATAAATGGTAAATACCAAATTTGTTCCCCCCTTGTTACAAAAAATTACAAACACACAATATATTTCTTCTTTACTTTGTAACCTTTATTTTAACAAATAAGCATTTCAAAACGCTTCATCTTAATTAACATTGTCTTGTCTATCTTTGCCTATACTCATTCATTTATTTTCTTTTTGGCTTTGTCCTTTTCAGTTTGTTATTCTGGGGTCACCACAGTGGAATGAACCACCAACTTATCCAGCATATGTTTTACGCAGTGAATGTCCTTCCAGCTGCAACCCATCTCTGGGAAACATCCATACACACCCATTCACACTCATACACTACGGACAATTTATTCTACCCAATTCACCTGTACCACATGTCTTTGGACTGTGAGGGAAACAGGAGGACCTGGAAGAAAAAGAGAACTCCACACAGAAACGCCAACTGACCCAGTCGAGGCTCGAACCAGCAACCTTCTTGCTGTGAGGCAACAGCACTACCTACTGTGCCACTGTGTCACCACCCAGCTGCAACCCATCACTGGGAAACATCTATACACACATTTTCACACACACATACACTACAGACAATTTTAGCTTACTCGATGTCACCACATATTTTAGGACTTGTAGGGAAACTGGCACACCCAGAGGAAACCCACACTAACATGGGGAGAACATGCAAACTCCACACAGAATTGCCAACTGACCCAGCCGAGGCTCGAACCAGCCTCTTGCTGGGAGGCGATTGTGCTACCCACTGCGCCTGCCTATACTCAAACAGCCAGTGCTCCACACACACAGAGAGATCTGATCTGATCATCATCCAGTCCAGGGGTCACCAACCTTTATGAAACTGAGCGCTACTTCTTGGGTACCGATTAATGTGGTGGGCTACCAGTTTGATAAACACTTCTTAAATAACACATTTGCTCAATTTACTTTTAATTATACTTTATATTTTTGGTAATAATTAATGATATTCATCCAGGTGAAGACACTGATCATGTTAATGATTCTCACAAAAGTTATCAACAATGATTTACCAGGGTAGGAAATACCCTGTATTTAATGTATCAATGTGCAACACTATTTTTATATATCTCTGTAAATATTTACATTTTTAAATGATTACTTTTATATTAGATGAAGAAGCTTACTGGTAAGTGGCGCTATAGTGAGCTATTTTTGGAAATCAGCAAAACCTTGTGCTGCTGCAGTTTGATTCAACGAATCAGTAGGCGTGTACCTGAAGTAATAAAATACCGCGAGATTGATTCAAATGCACACGGAGCTATCTGTTGTTCTCCTGATGTTTTGATGTCACACTAGTCGTTCTGCTAAAGACGAATCGATTCAACTCGAGGTTGGTTCAAGATGGCGACCTGAGTAGACATAATTTTGAGCTCAGGCACCAAACACTTTTATATATGCCGCAAATAAGCTTTTTTCAAATCATATAGCTGCACTCCCTCATTATAATTTAGCTAATTAGCTCCGGCTTTACTATGGGTCGAAAGCGTGGACTGTTGGCTCTCTCTGAAAAAGTTAAGACTGTAAGTAATAGCACATGCTCTCTGGCTAGCGGCGGCCACGACTACGTTGCTGATCAACTCTCGCTCTGACAAAATTGAACAGAAGATTTTCGTTCTGAACAAAAAAGTTGACACCATGTCTTCTGAAGTACACTCTATAGTGACAAAGGTGACACACCTAGAATAACGAATAACTCGAGTTGAGGAACCAGTAATTCAAATGCAAAGACGGCTGGAAGATTTAGAAACGTACACAAGGCGACGTAACCTCAGGCTTGTTGGTGTTCCAGAGAAG